TCTTTACAAACAAAACTGATGCTCCCCATTGTGAAGTACTCCTTCGAATAAAATCTTGACTAGGTAATTGCTTAATCTGATCCCTCAGCTCTCGCATCTCCACTGGTGCCATCCTGTATGGTGCCCTAGCAATAGGCACAGTACCTAAAGCTAAGTCAATCACAAACTCTATCTCTTGACTAGGTGGCAACCCTGGAATCTCTTGAAAAACATCTGAAAATTCTTGTACAACTGGTATGCTATCCAGTGACATAGTAATCTCTTCTTTGGTCTCCTCCTCTACATAGAACAAATAAGTACTAGAAACCCCATTAGAACGTGGCATAGCGACCAGGTATCGTGAAAATAATAGACCTATCATAACAATTTACTTGGGCATGGTAATGAGACAACCAGTCCATCTCGAGTATCACATCATAAGAATGCATGTCCAAGACCAATAGATTGGCTAGAAATCTAAGTCTACCAATATCTAGTGTTACAGGCCCATCACTCTCATATAAAATGGCAGTATTGCCTAAAGGTGTAGAAATACCTTGAGGTCTATGGTACACTCGCGTCGTCATCCTAGATAATGTAACAAAAGTACTAGACAAGAATGAATGTGTAGCACCCGTATCAAATAAAACACAACCATGTGTACTATGAATAAGAAACATACCCTCAACAGCCTGAGGTGCCTGAACACCCTTTGGCATGGGGTTACCACCTTGCCATAGTGCAACTATTGCGGTGCCTGTCCCTACAGCTGCAACAGTGCTGGTAAAGCTAGGAAGGTCTGTCCCTGAATGCGCGGAATCTATGGAGCGGGTAAAGATAATGGTGCCCTCTATCCCTACTGCACCTGTTGTCCCCGTCTAGCTCTGGGATACTACTTGGAAGTGTGTCCAAGCTCTCCACAAGTATAACAAGTACCCCTAAAAGTACCAAACGGCCTCCTCTGCTAGTCAGCCTATGGCTGATCTCGTCCTACCTATGGTCCCCCATTCTGCTGCCTTTGAATAGGTACCCTATCTTTGTGAGCATCTGAACCACCCTTATGCTTCTTCCAAGACTGTTGTCCCTGGAATCTACCCTTATCATTGTGTCGATGTCCATTGGCATTCCCTTTCTCAGTTGGCTGATTAGCAGAGTATCTGTCACCCGCTTCTCACCCCTAGCCTGCCTGAAGTCTACAGTCAACTGATATTGCTGTAGAGCGGCGTCTACCACCTGAGCATAAGCAGTGTAAGCTGGACTACCTGTAATACATCACTTAATAGACCATATAAGCCTTTTAATGAAGTTATTACGTTTCTTCTCCTCAGTATTCACCTCCTCCAGAGCAAATAGCGATAAGCGTGTGAACTACTGCTCATACTCTACCACTGTCATGTTCCCTTGCTATAGATTAAGGAACTCTGTCTTCATAGCTATCCTGACTGCATATGGAAAGTACTTCTCATCAAAACGAGCACTAAACTAATCAATGAAGTCTTCTCCTCCGCGATGGTAATTGACTCCCACCACTGGAGTGCATCTCCGACAAGCTTGAAGGTAGCAAGCATCTACTTCTAAACCTCTGTGCACTTAACCATGCGAAGATGTCACTCGATATCCTTCTTCCACGGTGAGCTGATTTTGCATCAATAAAGCTTGAGAATTCAGGTGGGCTCCCCTTTTTAAAAGAACTCCTAGCCTTCTCCCAAGGATCAGTTTGAACCACTGGTGCTGGTATAGGTGCTTGTTGAACCTGGGGCTGATTTCGAAGCACAGCTACTGCACGTGCTTCTATAGCCCAAGTAATGAGGTTATTTATCTGAGGAGGATACTCTGGATCCCTACCCTGATTGTAGCCCCGATCCTAAGACTCCTGAGTCTGTTGTTCCTCCTCCTTCTCAATGTGAAAGTGACCATCTTCCTTGTAATGTGGTCATTTCCTTCCTTTTCTTTTTCCTCAGAATTTCATGGATGAATTTTTTTCATTGAAATTTCTTGTCTGAGTTCAGTTTCTCGTCGCTTAGTGTCGTCTCGAGTACTCGAAAATGGTTTCTGAGACTCTTTCCTTTGGATTGACAACTTTCTTTGAGGACCGAGTCATTTCCATATTTTTTGTTTTTCGATACTATTCACTTTTCGTCCTTTTCCTTGTTTTGTCATTTTCCATATTCTGTCTTTTCCCCGTTTGTCACTTTGTTCGCGTAACCTCACTCCTTGTGTTCAGAGTTGATTTTTAACTTCACGTGTCTTCATTCTAAGTGGTTTCTATGAAATACGTATATTTACTTTTGCAAGAAAGTACTCTGGTTGCTCCCGGTGTCCATAGGGGCATGGATGCAAAGTTCTTTGAAATTATTTTCTTTTCTTAGGGTGTTTTTCGTAAATATATTTTGAAGATATTTTATTTCAGGGGTTTTTTAGAAAATATTTTTGGATGATATTTTAATTCTGGGGCATTAGTGCAATTAACCCTTTTTGGAGGGTCCATTTTGCAATTAATAAAAGTTATTGTAAAATACTTCGTCAGGAGCCTGGATCCTCGTACGGGATTCATTTTCACTTTTCGTCAACTCGTAAATTCTTAGAATTTCCTTCTGGTCGCTTTTCTTCAGTTTTAGGGTTTTTGGCCCCGGTTGCCGCCGAACTTGTTCGGGACATATCTCTCTGCTCGGAACTTGATTTTTGATGCTGTTTCTTCCGTTGTTCATATTTTCTCATTTTGAATCTTTTTCATTCACGAAGTTTTGCTGTTTGAGCGCGTCTGCTCAAATTTTACTTTTCTGAACCCGGCAAGACCCCGTTCGGGATACTTTTTGAGATTTTCTATAAATAGGGGGACTTAAAATAAAAAAGTCATCTTCTCCCCTCTCCATGCATGACTAGAACCTACTATGGCAGCCTAAGGGGGCTGCCACCCTTCTTCTTTCATTTGAACCTTCTTCCCTTTGTTAAAAAATCGAAGTGCCTTCGCATTTTGTGTTTGTCTTGACTACGCGCATCTTTCCCCCTTATTAGAACCCGTTTTTGGCCAAATTTTGAGTTCGGGTTTGAAGTCAAGTTGTGATTTTTATGGGACTTCTTAGAGATTCATGTAGATCGTGTTGTCCCCGACAAAACCTCGCGGTATCGTCGAAATCGGAGCACTTTTTTTTCGGCGGGCTTTTAAGATTTTCATCTCAAATCAAGGTAGGGGATGTTTTAGGGTTATATTAATGTTGTATTGATTGTTATATGAGCATATACAACTTGTGAGCATGCCTTGATCAAGTTATAGAATTTAATTTAATTATTTTCTTTGTTTAAGATTTAATTCTCATGATGCTAGGCAACTTAGAATTAAATTGTGGCATGCTAGAAATTTAGGCCTTGGTATGGTGGTTGATATATATTAAATTGGGGTTATTTGAGTAAGAATTACAAATTTTATTTAATATTTATTTTTTGTGAAAGTTTAATTCACCTAGTTGTATCAAGCATGGAATCAACTTGTAATGTGATATTAAAGTAGGCCTTGGTGAGTTCTTTAACATATATTAAATTGAAGACATTTAGATATGTTTGAAAATCTAGAGAAAATTAATTAATTAACTTAATTAATTTTATTTTTAAGTGTTGTAGTCACTTAAATTGATTTTGGGTATAATATATGTGAAGACTATGCTATGTCCCTTAACATATATTAATTTGAGTTTATTTGTGATTAATATGAAATCTAGAGACTTTTCATGTTAGGTTGAAAATCTCTTTTAATGTAGTGAAATTAATTACCTTGTGAACATATTACTAATTGGATGTAGAATTAGTACTTGGGGCCTCTTAAAATGGTAGTTGGACTTAGCAAGATATAGAATATCATTGACTTGTAAAGCTTGTTTAAATATATCTTGTGTAGGTATATAGCTTGTTAGAATACTACAATTGTTTACCTTGAAAGCTTGTTACTAAATTGAAGCTTATTTAGTACTTATGGCTTAGGATAATAATGTGACTCAATTGTTGTAAAATATTCTTGCTTTGTATGTAAATTGCATATTGAGAACATAACATGTCATATGCTATTTAGACTTGAACTCTAGGACATAGTTTGTGTGAATTCAACCTTACTTGTGCATGTAAATTGATTCCTAGACATTATTTGAGATGTATAAGTTTGGTTTAACTTATTGATTTTGCATAAGTTTTGAACTTACTGTCTTTGGAGACTTCTAAAGATTATACTCATGTGATGGCTAGGGTTTGGCCCTAGTACGGATTCGTGAGTCTCCTAAGTCATATAAAGTGCGCAATAGGTAGTACCTTGTGGGTCGTAATTACCCAGAATAACTTATACACGTGCGCACTAGGTAGTATCTTGCGGGCTAGTAACCCGGAATAACTCGATTGGTCTGCAGCCAAGGATCCTAGTCTTTCCACTATTTGATTTCGCATTTAATTTCAAGTTGTTAATCATGGATTACTTATAGCTTGAGAATTAATGCTTACTTTGGATATTTGAATCTTATTTAGTATACTTGAAACTGTATACTTGTTTTGTACATTTAGATCTCATATAGTATACTTGAACTTGTATACTTGCTCTGTGAGTTTAAATTTCATTTAGTATGCTTATGCCGTGTATACTTGTTTTAGGCGTATCTCTTTTAGCTTAGTATACTTGTGTTCGTATACTTGATTGACGAGATTTCCAAATAAAATGTATACTTGTGTACATATGCTTAGACATTGCATGACTTGTCTTAATATGGTTTAGTATACTTGGAAATGTATGCTTGTATGTTGTGTAGCATGTTTTAACAATAGTATACTTGAGCATGTATCCTTGTGTGCCGTTGTCCACTTTAAATTGCATGAGTAGCTTAGGATGATCCTTGAGTCTCACTTGACATAAACATTAGGTGGCATGAGCCCCTTTGACGTGTTTCACCCTAAGGTGATAGAATTGTAAAATGCTAAGTCGATGCATGCTCATCTCCTACGAGTAGCTTTATATTACTCACCCACGTAGTGGGGACATTTTTTAGGTACCGAGATCAAGATTCGGGATTCACGTCATGCTTGGATGATTTGTAAACTTGAAGTTCTCATTTATTGTAAATGTTGGCTTGAAATGCCATTTATAGCTTTATATGTCAAAATGTGTTAAAATGTGTAAATTTGATTCTATTTTTGTAATGTGTACATAAGTGCACTCTTTACAATGTATTTGACATGTATGAGATGAGGCCATGGGCCAATGACATCTAATTTGTATCCTATGTAACTTTTAACTTCATGAAATATTATGAATATATTAAAAAATGCCGAGTCATTGTTTCACTATACTTGCATCGGGTGTGGGAATTCCATTTTTATTCTTTTATAGGGTCTTATAAATCATGTTTGAAGTGTGGCCAAGGGTCAAATGGTAATTTGAAATCATTTGCTAATTTTGGTTTTCAAATTTCCCTTTTCTTGTTCATTTTTGCCTTTTTGCCCATTGGGGGGTTGGATTTTGCATCGGTGGTATTTTTAAGCCATGGATCATTGTAGCACATCCTAATAGGTAAGTTACGTTTGCGTGCATGGCCGTTTCCGGGCAAACCTTCTTATTTGGTGAAATGAGCCTCCTATGGACTCATTTTGAAATTTTGTTACATAATCTGATCTAGGGGCATTCTAGACCTTTCATATCAGTTTAAATTTCTTCTTTCGACATGGTCGAATAGAAAATGTGATTTTAGGGGGGATTTTTTCTTTGTGTTTTTCTAGAAAATGTCGTCTTGGTACTGAAAATCCCTCGTGAAGTTTCAGCTTCCAGTTTGCATTTTAGTAGCTTTTTGCCTCTCTTGACCAGTTCTGATCTAGGGGCATTTTAGGTATTTTATAGTGAGTTTTTTTTTTTTGAATTCTCACGCGAGTCACGTAGAAAACTCTATTTTAGGGGGGGTTTCTTCATCGTGTTTTTCCAGAAAAACTCGTCTTGACCTTCGTTTTAAGCCTCAATTCTAGACACTCATTTTTTTTTCTTTCTGTCAACATGTGCATGCCATTGGACGCCGACATGGGCGCCGGGCGCGCATGGGGCATGTCATGGCCTTCGTCGGGCCGCCGCGACGTCAAAACTTCAAACACTCGTTTCTCCCTCGTCCGGATTCCAAATCGAGTGAACTTTTTTTTGACCTTGATTAATTTTTCGCTGTCTTTCCAACGGTGTACTCGATTACACCCGGATCTTCCTGGATAATTACCAGTTTACCCTTTTAGCCTTAAGTGCTCATTTTCTTCGTCATGCCGTTTCTCCTTCGTCCGGACTCCGAATCATGCGATTCTTGAGTCCATCTTGATTAGTTTTTTGTTATCCTTCCAATGGTGTGCTCAGTGGCACCCGAGTCCATAGTTTTCAGAAATGACTATTTTGTCCCTGAGGGTTTATTTGTCATATTTTTGATCTTTTGCTTCCGCATCAGTTCTCATTGAGTTCCACGACCTCATGGAAGGTCACTTTGACTTCTTAGAGTCTTGTTTTCCGTTTTCGCTTCCGCATTTCGGATCTGTTATCGGGTCAAACTACGGTTTATCACAGGACGCACTGGCTTGAAAAACCAGGGCTGTCACATTCCTCCTGCTCCTCCTCCTAAAGCCTTGGCAGTTGTTGTTCTTCCTCAATTTACTGACGCCGTAGGAAATCCTGCTGCCTACGTGCCATTCGCTACTTGTTTCTCAGATTGTCCCGTCTTCTTTTAGCGTTAACCATTCTGTTAACATAGAAAGATAGACGTCAGTACGATTTTAAACGGATGTAAAGGAATACAATGAATCCTAAACTTAGGCTCTAAACAAAAGAATACGCTACGCGAAAGTCTTATATGAAAGAATCTTAGAGACACTTGAACCTGGAGTTCTCTGATACCAACTGTGATACCCTTTGATTCTAGAGTCACGGGTGATCAAGTCCGAGCACAGATCCGAGGGATACCAAATAATTAAGTATATAAATAAGCATAGATTACAAGAAGAATTAATAATAAATAAATAAGATTAAAGGAAAATAATAATAATAATAATAATAATCATAACTCCTTAAATGACTTATTAAATAATTCTCTAAATAACAATATCCAAAATATATCTGATAACATTACAACTCGGGATTCCATCATGTGGACCCCTAACCATAATCCAACTGAAACTAAGTAATGAAAAATAAATGAAACCAAAACTAAAACATAAGGAAGACTCCTACATCAAATCGGAAGAGTGATGATAGACTATCTCTGCTCAACACAAACAACCTCTAAGTCTTGAACTGTCAAACACCTGAAAAAATAGTAGTGGGTCAGGCCCACGAACAAGTTTTAATCTACTACATCCCAAAGAGAGACCCGATACATGTTCACATCCTAGTCAATCCAACAATAACTATATAGTCTGTATAAATATATATACACTAAAGGAACCTCACTAGACTATAGGGTTGTCTCAACCTAAATAGAAGGCAACATGCAAAACGCACAAATAGTGGGCATGAGTACTTAGATCTACCAGGGTACACAAGTACATCATATCTAGCTACACATCCCTTGTAATATGCGCGCCCTAACCACTGATCCTAAGACTCAAGCTCATATCATGGCACATAATTATATATATATAATCCATCCTATCCAATTATAGTTAATCCTCTATAAGTAATCCTCTATAAGTCATTCAACTTGTTCAGCTGACCTGACTTGAATATAAGTAGGACTTAACATCTTAGTTAATCCATTCCCTTATACAAAATAGGTAGAACTTAACTGATAAGTTAATCCATCCCTAGAATGCCACCATCCCATACTGGTGTATTTCATCACACAATCCACAATTGATGAAAATAAATATAATATTACATCAATTAAATCTAGAGATGAGCATGATATAAATCAGTCATGTATATGATCATAATATGCTACCACTACGTGATTAAATCATATATACACCACATTAAATTGCTGAATTAAATTTAAGCAATTATACTCTCCATTAACAACATGCAACACCATTTAAAATTCCTGATTGTTCAATACCTTAGTATATTAATTATAATCATGCATTTCATAACCTCCATGAATTTATTTTAATAATTTAAAATAATTAAAATAAATCCAAACAACTATTAACATGAACAATAAGAATCCCCAAATCCTACAACATATTGTCGACCGAATCCTCCCTTCGATCGGCCGAAAGGCCAAGATCGGTCGGCTGAAACGGCACTGCTTATCATCTTCTTCTCTGAGTTCTTCTTCAAACCTCCATTGTTGGAGATTCAAAGTTCTGATTCTACCCAATACTCATCATATGTACATATTTTAAACAATCTAGGACACAAATCATGCATCAATTTATCAAATCATAAAAAAAATATACAAACCCATTACATACATATTTTCATTGTAACTTTAGACTTTTAACATGTAAAAAGTTTGTTTTAATCCAATTAATTCTCCTGGAATTGATCTAAGTCTGTATAGAACACAAGTCAAAGAGGAAGAGAAGAAATAGAACTCGCCTTTAGATTTTTAGATTTGAAACCCTAAATCTCCTCCTTCCTTTCTTCTCTAAATCCGGTGACCCCTTTGGTTGCCTTGGCAACCTTCTGCTACTTCTTGTATAGCCAAAGAACAACCCCTTAGATCCCTTCTTGGTTCAACCCTTCTTTCTTGTCAAACCTTCTCTTTTTTCCCTCTCAAACCCCTCTGTTTTCCTACCTCCCTTAGTCTCTACGTGAATAGGGTTTTCAACCCTTTCACAGGCATACAACTTATACAAATATATTAATATCTTATAATCATTTTCCCTTCCTAATTCTAATTACTTTAAATTAATTAAATGAAAAAGGAAAATAAATATACTTTATATACATATATACTTAAATTTTATAATACATAATTTAGTTTAAACAATATTATATTATATATATATAGAATTATATACATATATGAATCCACTGACTAATAGTATTTAATTAAATTAAATACCCCTAATAAACATACAATTAAAATAACCATTAAACACTTAATTAATAAAATATTTAAACATACAATTAAAACAACCATTAAACACTTAATTAATAAAGCATTTAAACATACAATTAAAACAAACATAAAACACTTAATTAATAAAGCATTTAAACATACAGTTAAAACAACCATTAAACACTTAATTAATATAATATTTAAACATACAACTTATAACCATTAAAATTAATACAACAGTTAATTCAAATAAAAATAATACAACAATTAAACATTTAATTAATACAACATTTAAAACATACCATTAATACGACAATTAAACATCTAATTAATATAACAATTAATTCAAATAAAAACACATTTACAAATGGCCACGAAATCAAATAATTAAGTAATTCAATTAAAATGCGATAAAATAAAATACATCTAATTAATACAACATTTAAAACATACCATTAATACAACAATTAAACATCTAATTAATATAAAAATTAATTCAAATAAAAACACATTTACAAATGGCAACGAAATCAAATAATCAAGTAATTCAATTAAAATTTAGATAAATATTGAGACTATCCTTTTAAAATTAGGGGTATTACACCTCCACACATTAAGATAATGATCATGCAAATCAAAACAACTCTAGAATCCTTTTTAAGTGAACTGGCATCAAATATGTTGCTATCTAAATCAACTAAAGAAATGATCACATCCGGCCTTAAGCTAGGACACAAATCTAGTGCCGATCATCAAGACAAAGAATGGACCTTTTATTAAAGCTTTATTCAACTAAGTGCGCTTTTTCTTTTCACTCAATTTCTTTTATTATTAACCTAGAGGATCAAAGATGGAAGCATGGTGTAATGTGTTGATCTATTAAGTTTTCTAGCGATCCATGAGGTTAAGCGTTAGGTCAATGACTCCCAAATTAGACGGCTTTAGGGTATTAGGTGTATAAACACCCCTAAGGACTTACAAGCTCAAATCAACTAGGCTACAAATCAGAACAACCTCCATCTAATTATTTCCCACTTCTTACCTTTTGGGAGAAGTCCTCACTTTTTTAGTATTATTATTTTTTTATTTTTTATTTTTAACTTAGAATTTGGGCCCTCCACCTTTCGGAGCGAGAAATTAAGTGCTTGATGAGGTTAGAATCCCAACTACTTAGTGAAAAGGGTTTGTTATCCACCTTTATCAAGAATGAAAGCTTTTAATGCACCACTAGCTCAGTTGGGATATAACCAAATTAATAATCAACAAAGCATGTACCCAAATGAATGCTAGTGCACGCCTGTGCTAGTATAGAATCCTAGAGTG